AGACATCTCTTGGGATGAACATCTGCACCACTAAGGCTCTGAGAATGAAGCCTCCCATTCCCCAAAGCTGAGTGGTAACAACCCAGTTAACTACGGATCCTACCCCCTTCCCCGGCCTGCTCTCAGGAGTGCCTGGCAGCCCAATACACTGCTACCTCAACAGACAGCCCCACGCAGTACAAGAGCTCCTCCTCCTTCCTGAGCCTGGCACCCCAAACTCTGCAGCAGCAAGGAGAAAGGGCAGCAGGGCTGCAGAGGCCAAACACCCAACCTCCCACAAGGCCAGACCTTGCTCCTAGAGGAACCACCTTGCACTTCCTATGATCTACCCAAATCTGAGCCTAGGCTACAAAGATCTTTTTAAAGGTTTCTACAGATTACTAGAACAGCTTTGTAAAGCACTTTATAAGAAGACACATTATTTAAAATAATTAATTCTTAAGTTCTTGTGGGGGAGGGCTTAAGAAATACAGGGGCTGCAGAGAACTGCTGCCACTAGAAGGCACAAACACTAAAACATAGACCCTCATGGTACTACTACTGCATTACTCCCACCCACCGACTTAAAAATCCCTCTTCCCCCAGGATGAGGACTAATGCTCACAAAAATGGTTTATGTACACTTCAGTGTTCTCATACAAACATGCACAAATACACTAAGGAAGAATGCTGACTGCATGTCTTTAACACTCCACACTTCTTATCCCAAGTCATTAAAAGCTAAATGACTCATCCACTCCACTTTTTGCTATGAACTATGAGAGCCTGATTATCCATGTTCTTATTTCAGAACACAGAGACATCCAAGGACATCACACAACGTATTTAAAAGGATGCTAATTCTCATCCCTGTCCAAATAGTTATCACTTTGGCACAGCTCCACCTTTAGGAAACATTTTAACACAGTCACAACCACTTTATTAACAACAAGAAACAAACTAGAAGCAGAAATGTTTCTTTATACTTTATTTGAACTATTTTATTCTTAGGTATCAAGAAATAAGAGTGCTTTTTAGAATATTATTACCACAGGGCAGTGAAATGGGCATTTTCTTATTGTAGTGCAAGTCTTATTAAATGAAAATATTTTAAAATAAAGTTTTATTACCAGTACCGACCAGCACTTAATCTGCTGACCTATAGCTGAAACAATGTCTCAAAAGCACAAAAAAATACCCTCTGAAATAAAGCTTTATGTACAGCACATAGAGAGCTCTCTTAGATGTCTAAAACTATTAGTCTGAGACATTAATGCTTTTAATTGCTATTCACAGTTGAAGATACTGAGAATTAAGTGTTCAGATGACTTTAGAGTACAAAAAAATTTGTCTGGTTTAGTTATAAAGAGCTCTGCCAATATACACAAACTATACACTTCAGACATTCACAAAAAATGTGAGCAAGAAAAGGGTTATCAAAAACATTTAATACAATTAGTCAATAACCCTTCCCACCATGGTCCACATCTACAAAGTTCCCCTTTCCCTCCCCTCTCCCCATCCAAACCCTTTCCCTCAGAAAGTCACATACTTACCACAAGTTTTAGCAAGTATGGTTTAAAAAAGGGCCCCAAGGGCAAGTTATTTATAGTTCAGTTGCCACTGTCAACAGATCTGGACCTCGATCTAGACCTCTGCCTGTCTACGGATGACGGAGATTTGGATCTGCTGGAAGAAGCCCGTTTCTGGCTCTTGCTGGGCAGCGGAGATCTGCTGACTGACCGCGACTTGCTGCGGCTCCTGCTGCGTGACCGGCTGTAGGACTTGCGGCTGCGGGAACGAGAGCGGCTGCGCGAGCCAGAGGAGCTCCTGCTGCGTGACCGTGACCTGCTCCGGGACCTACTGAGGAGCCAACGGGGAGCGCCACTCAGTGCCAGCCACGGAACCCCACGGCCCCAACCAGGCACTCCACAGCCCTCCAGCTCCGCTGCCTGGTCACTGACTCCAAAGGTCCTCACTGAAAGTTTAACCATTATAGAGTAGAAATCTGTACCTGTGCCTTTTGCTGCCTTCAATTAGTTTGATTTTCCTTCCATTAATTTCTTTACCAGAAAGCTTTTCGATAGCATTCTTTAAATCACTGTAAGAGGCAAATTCAACCACCCTATGGAAAAAAAAACCAAACCAAACATAAGGCTCACTATTACAGGTTGTAGTTACCAATAAAAGCAAAATTTACACTGGGAAAAAACCAAACAAACAAAACCCCAAAACCTACACTGCTCAGCGTAATTATCCCTTGTCATCACTGAAGCACGAAAAATTCCCTTCCCCAAACATTTCCCACATACATTTTCAAAGGGTAGCAAATTAAGCCATGGACAGCTGCTGACACTGAAAGTAGCCAGCTTCCCTCCCCAAATATTACATATACAGGTTACTCTACAGCTTTCAAGAGATCACTTGATAGGCTTACCCTTCATTTAACTTTGGTCTGTGTGCATCTGCAAAGGTTACTTCCCCGGCTTGCCTCATGAAGTCTTTGAGATCCTAACACAAGACCACTTTTGTTACGCAAAGAAGTAAAATGAACATTTACTTATACAAAAGTAGCTTAAAGCAAACAAAAGAAACTTATGACTACTGAAAGAGAAGTCGTTAGATAAATCACAAACATGGCAACTGCCATACTTGTAATCAAAATTGCATTATCTGTATCACGATCTGTATCAGGGCACGAAATAAATGAGAAAAGCATATTGCTTTAAGCAAAATGCTAATAAAAGGGTCTTAACATTAGGGTAAGTATTAGTCTAAAATGATTTTATAGATTAAGTAGCAAAGAGAAAGAAAGAGAGAGAAAAAAGAAATAAAAAGCACATTTTTATATCTACTGAATTGACTTTGAAATGCTACCCATATATTTTTTGGACTTTTCAGTCTCCATTTACATTACAAGTCTTATATGAATACAAAATTACATTTACATAACACCAATTATTTTGTGCCCCATATGTCATTAAAAATATAGTTTACTTTACCTTTATAAACATTTCCCTAGGCTAGCCAAGCAGCAAACTGCATTAAGCGACCGGAGATACCGTCATGACATATGCCCGACTGGCTCTTCGCCACCCACTTGCCGAACACTACCCAGTCGATGGAAGCCATTAATCGCACTGCCCTCCCTATCAGGAGACTATGGATGGATCCATTCTCTATGCTTGATGGCACCAAGGACCACTTTACTGCGATCAGGATTCCAACGACCACCTAATTTCCAATCTTTCAACTCTTTTCGACCAGGACCTCGTTATTCGGAAGCGTTACAGGAAGAACAGCTCTCAACTTAGGAATCAGATCTCGTTAACGCTCTGGGACCGCTGCAATGTGGCACTTTAAGGAGTGCATCGATTACGTCTAGACCGGCAAACACAGATCTAGAGGTGGCCAAGTGACATTGTAGGAGCTGACTGGAAAGTCAACCAGGCCCGACCAAGAGTGACCAAGACAGAACGATTAGGATAACCCACAGGCACTCCTCGTCATAAGGCCAACGACACAGATAGGCTGGCAAATAAAGGGTTTAATATGTGGTTAAAATGGATTTTAAAAACAAGAAAAAAATAAATATATATCCTCAAACATATAAATGTATTATTATTATGAATTAACATTAACTAGCTTTCATTCAAAATATTTAAGTTACATTACTAAAAATCATATTAATTACATAAGCATTTTAATAAATTAGGTTTTAATTTAATTAATTGTTTTACAAAATAATTACATTACATTACATACCCATTAAATGAAGTCAAAATAGTTAATTATGTTTCAACAAACCTGCCAGCTGACACGGGAAGACAAATTTTCCACTATGAGGCGATTTTCTGTTCTTAGAGGTGGGGCGTTTCTGTTTTGAAACAAACAATTCTGACTTCTATCAGTAAATACAATACAACCATGTTAATATTAATGAAGGCTGTAAGAGCTAGTATCAGCATATCATCATTAGTACTATAACCTAAGCTACGCAATAGCCTGAGCAATCTAGGGCACTCATTAAGTACTTAAGGGAGGAAGCTAAGGATGACAGGCATATCTGAGAAGTTCTGTAATCTTCACTATCCTGCTGCCACATCAAACGACTTAAAAGGCAAATAACACCTTTTAATAGCTCATTGCAGCTCACATTCTCTGGGGTGAGCCCAAAGCATTCTTTTTTTAAGCTGCACTGGCTCAAAGCTGCACTTACCTCCTGTCACTGCGCGGGCGGCGGCTACTGAACCGGTCAGAGTACCTCCCTCTGCCTCTGCCCCTCGAGCGTGCTCTGGCATGCTCAATGGTCACCCTGTGAAGAGAAACACATAACAAAACACGTGTTTTTACGTATTTCTTCTTTGGTATACAGCTGTAATTCTCAGGACAAAGACAAACCAAACAAAACCAAAATAGTTTGACCAATACTGACAACACAATTCAAACTGAAATTGACTTTTACAAATTGACTTACACAAACCTTTATCCCAAAGGTTGTATAGGCATGAAATAAGATACCTCACCTTTCACTGCAAAGTTCTTTTCCATCCAATTCATAAACAGCATCATCTGCATCCCTCGGATCCTCAAATTCCTGCACAACCAAGACAATAAAACCAAGCAATTACATTCCAATGAACGAGCAGATGCTGATTTGCCACGCGGTGTGCCTTCGTGGGCACGTTAATGATTTTCTTTCGAAGGAGCTTCATAAACCTCAAACGCGAGCGAGCACCAACGGGGTGGGGAAGGGAGAGGGGGCGCACTCACCACGAAGCCGAAGCCCCTCTTCAGGTCGATGTCGCGGATGCGGCCGTACCCCTTGAAAAACCGCTCCACATCCTTCTCCCTGGCGGCCGGGTTCAGCCTCCCGATAAAGACGCGGCAGCCGCTCATGGCTGTGTTTGCGCGACCCTGCTGCGGGGACAGACGCGTCAGGCCCGCCGGTGACTCAGCACCGCCCGCCGCCGCTGCCGCACTGCGCCAGCCGGCCCCGCCCTCGACAAGGGCCAATGGGAATGCGGCGGGCGGACACCGCCTCACGCCCGCCCAATAGGAGCCCGGACCGCGGCCTCCGGCCCCGCCCAGCTGCTTCCCCGCCCCCCCAGCTGAAGAAGAAAAGCAAACGCCATCGCTCTACCACAAAATGGCGGCTGTGCCGCACCCGCCTCCGGCACAGACCCTGCCGCTCCGAGCGGAACGGAGCGGCGACAACGCCGGCCAGGGTCCCGCGGGCCGACCGGGCACACAGAACAAGCGCCCCGCACCGCACAAGCTCCGTTTCCCCCGCGCTCCGCTCTGCGGGGAAGCCCCCGGAGCTTTTACAAACCTGGGCTGTGGGTCTCGGAGCAGGCCGAGCCGGACGGTTGCGCGGTGCGGCGCGGCAGACGATCGGCGGATCAGTCGGGCAGATACGTCCACCCCGGGCGACAGACGACTCCGAGTGCTGCGCAACACCGGCGCTGCGCCGCGAAATGGAGGCGGCCCCGCGCGTCAGCGCCGCCCCGCGCGGCCATTGGCGGAGGCGGCGGCCACGCCCCTCCCCGGGGAATCCAGGTCAGGGCGGGGGGGCTGCGCCGGCGCCCCTCAGCCGGAGCCATGTTGGGGCGGCAGCGGGGATAAACAAACAGCCCGGGGCGCCGGGGGCCTCGGCCGGGAGAGCTGTGCTGAGGGGTGAACACAACCATCGGGGCTCTTTTACTCACCCCGTACACACAGGCTAAAACCTGTGCCGCTCTCGTGTGCGTGCAAGGCCTTGCGTCAGGCATTTCTGGCTACTGATAAACAAAGAGTGAAGGGAGGAAAATATATAAGGAGCTTCTGATACGCTGAAATCCTCATTTGGAATCAAATGTGTACGACAAGGGAGAGAGCTGAGCTTTGTCTCCATTTTACATAATTCTGCAGAATTTATCTGTTTGGCTTGTAGGTGGCTGCAGTAAAGGCAAGAGATTATCCCAAGGGGTATTTGAAATGAAGAAGACATCTGGAAGTTGAAGATACACCCACTAGTTTTCCAGTACAGACAGAGGCTGCAGCTCTGTGACCCTCTTTGCCAGATCTGTGCAGTGCTGGATCAGTTGACTTTACACAAAAAGCCAGCAGGCTTACAGCTGCACCAGTCTGCCTCTTTTGATGCATTTTGATAATTACAGTATGATCCTTTTAATAGTATTTTCCTGACTTGTCATCTGAAGTCCCATGCTTCCCTGAGTCCCAGCCCCTACCCCTTCCCTTTGGGGACCATCTTTGTTACACCCAGGGTCTGTTATTAATGACCTCTATGGGATGAATTTCTCTTTTTCATGCTTAGTCACTGACATCTGTTTCCCTGGAACAATACAGCACGTGATGGTGCTGACATCATAGCTTTATATGACTGCCCCCATAGTCACTCCTCAAACTGCAACAGCATGCAGAGTTCCAAAAATGGGAAAGTTATTTCTGCTGCATGCAGTGATGAGAAAGGCTACCATGTAGCTAAAGGTTTGGTAAGGCACTGTCAGCATCACTCACTTCTTTCTTGGGTTCCAAAGATGCACATTTCTGTTCCGGACAGAGGCAGCATCTGTGAGAAAAGCCAGGATGATGCACAGATGGGAAAATCTCTAGCACAGGGAGGACTTTGAGCAAGGAAAGACAATGCTGGTGATTATCCCTGTGGATCATAACCTGCTGAGGAAGATAAATGTTAGATGGCACATCTGAATGTAAGAGTGCTAATTTCATAGAGAGTTACAGTGCTTTAACAGGTGCCATGGGAACAGGCTGTTCTGTTCCTGTCAACACCAGCACTCCTGTCTGCAGAGTGAACTGGTACACAAAGCTAAACCAGCAAAAGGTAGTGCTGGAAAAGGCAGCAAGCAGACTTCTGAAGGTTTAACTCCATGAAAACCAGCTTGTAGTGAGAGAAAAACAAAACTGAAAATAACTTCAGTTTCAACAAAACTGAATGGAGGAAGGGGCAGGAGTGCCTCTTTAAGGAAGAGCTGCTCAATTTAGCAGTTCAAAGCTGCAGTTTAAAAAGCCTTGTCCTTGTAACTGCCAAGCAGAAATCTCCCTGCATCAGAACACTGGATGAAAAGCATCAAAACTCAGGAGAAGATTCAGAAGACAACAATCCCTCTTTAGGACATTCCTGTATTACCTAAGTCCATTACCAGCAAAAAGTTGACACGCTCTTTGACTCTCATGGATTTCTCACGTGAGGGTCATGAGCAAGCACGTCTGTTTCCTACCCAGTTTCTCCCAGTTTCTCCAAGTTTTCTGTAAACAGGCAGTGCTATTCCTCCCTCTGGCGTGAGGTTGTCTGAAGACCAGCTAGGCCTTGTTAATATTATTGCTGCTGGCTAGCACAGTAGTGTCCATATTCCTACATTCCTGCAGTTCTGGTTGTTGAGAGCCATATAAACAGGCTAAAATCCTTGTAGTTTATTAATCAAGGGAATTAAGTAAATACAGTTACTATTTGGAAGTGAGAAAGTCATGAGGCAGCAGAAGATGAAATGAAAGTTGAAACAAAGTCTCAGTCAGATACCATTAATGTCTGCTTGTGGAAAACTGTTGATAAGGAAAAACTCTTTGCTGTCTCTTCCAAATTTTAAAAAATAGTAATTAAAAAAGTAATCAAATGAAACTAATGAAGTCTGGGTAAAAATGTGCAAAAAGAGGTGTTTCTTCACCAACTGATAGTAACCTGTGGCATAACTTGCTGCAGGATGCTCTGGATACAGGAAGTTTATATGGCCTCACCCTACAGACAGTTTTAAACCAGGGAGGAGGAGGAAACAGGGGAAAAAAGGAACAAGAGAGGGAAAAAAGAGACTCCAGTTCAGAGACTGCCTAGCATTGCTGAAGACCCTCTACAAAACCTGCTGTCCCACAGATCCTCAGTGAAGCTGCTGTGTAAGCCATGTAGCCAGAGACTCAGCACTTTGCCCAGTTCTACAAGACTTCTTGAATGAATGCTACTGGTGAATATATTTGTTACTTCTTCCACCATGGTTATCTGTGTTAATCTCCTCTACTGTTCTTTGTTTTCTCCTTTCCTGTACTCTTGGTTACCTATGCATTCTCTGTTCTGTTTTTTTCCGAACTCCATGACTAACCAAACTAACATATTTCTGTTACTGCCACATAAGTGTAGCTCTCTCAGAAGCAGCAGCGACGAGGGTTCAAGAACAGCTTTACAAAAGTGTCAAGTAGGTAGCAAACACTGAATAGAGAATTTAATCATTGAGCACCAATTGCTTTTCTTCAAAATATTTGGAGAAAGAAAATGGAAATTGACCAAAAAAATAATAGAATAACACATTCAGAAATGAATTTTTCACAGTTTTTTGGGGTTTTTTTCTGTTTTTCCACTTTTTGGGAAAGCTTTTTGAATTGCTCATTCTTGTATCTTAGTGTCAGGCTGAGAGCCCTTGCCCACCACCCAGAAGTATATTTAGGAAGTAGAATCTTTTTTTTTTTTTTTTTGGCAGACTGTAATTCAGGGTGAAACGTGCTGCCCTGGGGCTGTGTCACTGAGCAGTCAGTAGAGTTAGGGAGCCTGACTGAGGGCTGCTCTTCCACAGCCCAGACAGACCCTCACAGCCTCACCACCCTTGTTTCAGCTGGCTACTGCCAGAATGCCCTGGATAACAGCTCCTCACACTCACCCTTTCTAGCCAAATGTTATAATTAACATCCCATTAATTATAGCTCAGCAGCAGGATTAAGCTAGTCCTGAAGGTACCTTAGGTCCAGGGGGGTCTGTAGATCAACAGTCAAGTTGCAGACTTTACCTTTTAGCTCAGGTGAGTGTGTGTCTTCCATGGCTGTGGCTCAGGAAGAAGGAGCAGAGGCAGGAACTGATCATCCCCTCTCGTGGACATGGAGCAGGCACTGCCTGTCTCTGCAGTTTGCCACTCTGTGAAGCAGAAGGCACATTGACCACAGAATAGTGCACCATCACATCAGATCATATCCCAGTAGGAATTTAATAATGACAAGGCCTTATGCTCCATCACATTTTTACATTATCTATAAATGCAACAAGGTTTAGGTTAGCTTTTATGCAAATTTTTGCCAGCTGCACATGGGCAGCTGGAACCTGGTCCAGCATGAAGATTACAGGTACAAAGTGGAAAGAGTGTTTTTTTCCTTGAATCATCAGAACAAGTTTACACCAGCTCAGTGTGTTTACTTTTAGATGCTGAACGCAAACAGGTGAGGAAATCTCAGACCACTGTGAGAGTGAGCTGTAGACTGCTGCAAAAACACCTTATGGTGTCAAAGCTATTTATAAACCTTCAGAGGGTAACAGGAGATCATCTGCAAGATCATGTATCCTTCCTTGTCTGGCCCTTTTCTGAAAGCCATGTAAGTCCCTTTCTGATTTAACTTCATGTTAGAGCTACCCCCAAATACAACAACAGCCGTGCTCTGCCATTACATTTCCAAGCAGCTTAAATCATGCTATGTCTTTGTTTTAACAAACCACTTTCTTTGTGTACAAAGACCTAGGGACTAACACTGGCAACAGTTTTTGTTTTCAGCAGAGGGCAGATTGTAAACACTGAACATGTCATCTTCACTGTTTGCTTAATTGAGACACAGTACTCACTTTAAACAGAGTATGAAGAACATAGGTCATAATAAAGGAAGAATAGGATGAAGAAAGTTCACCTTTTTTCAAGAAAACAGCACTTTTAATCCTTAAACTCTGCAAAGTTACTAATGAACCATTCCTGAGAAATCTCTAATATACCAAATGCCTGATTTCCTAGTGATGCAGTGATTTTTTGATTGGCAGACTTCAAAGGTCAGAAAGGCAATGGCACAAAAGATTAAATCATCAATTTTTACACACTTTCATTCAGTAAACTGGTCAGATGCTTCTGCTGACAGGGCAGGCAGTCAAGATCAAGCCATTTCAAATGAATACAACACTACTTACTGCAATAACTAAGTTATCAGGGAGGGGGGGAATGGAGATGTGTTAACCCTGACCATAATAAATCTCTTAGTCCATTTTTAAGCAACTAGGAAAATGCCGAAGTAAAAATTCATTTTAAGCTGAAAGTACAACTTTTTTAGAGTTGGCACTCAAAATAGCTCATTGACAAGCCTAGAAGCAATTCCTTTGGGGAATCAGGGGTCTCTTCTTAGCATGGAATCATTCAACACCTGCATTAATAATCTGTTAAACAGATTAGAGCATGTAGTGTTAGAACATGCAGGTGAATCAGGCTGGGAAGAGTTTCAAATACTCTGAAGACAAGAAAAGAGGATGTAATATTTAAAGGCCAAGTTATGAAGTGAATGGCAGAATGACAGTAAGGCAAGATTTAACAATAACTCCAGTTTTCTCACCAGACTACAACACCATTCATAAAGAGGAATAGATATTGTTTTCCGCTATATTTGATGAATAGAAGTCAAACCTTTGTGGAAGGCTGTAGTGTATGCTGTAAGTTCCTTCTGTTCCTCTCACCCTATTTTCACATGCAGGTCAAGTCTGGGGAGGATAATACAAGCCAAATCAACGGTGTGTTTATTTCTTATTGCTAGGACACAGTTAAATTGAGGAAAAAACCAACATTAAAACATTTTACCACATACTTACCCAGTCCAGGAAAAGTGTCAATAAGCTGTAATTACAAGAGACTGTTTAAAATAGAGGTCACATTACATTTTACATTTACACAAAAATATATATTCTACCTTTCAGGAAATCAGAGAACCAATTCTAACAAATGCTCTGGAAAGGAGATATGATCAAATGAAGTGCAACTGAAAAAAATCAGAAAATTTGCAAATGGCATGATTACAACCAAATATACTGAGATGAAAAGAGATGCAGTGGAAAGGACCAAACGCTGCTCAAATTATTCCCATTGAAATCCCAAAATCAGGCCAGAAAGGTAAATAAAGAGACAGGAGAAGAAATGGAAGAAATTAAATGCTTAAAAAAAAGGATAAAAATCTGAAATTAGCAAAAACAATATAAGTGAATGGGATGACCTGACGTGCAGGGAAAGGCACCAAAGCTTGCCCAACTGATCCTCATTAAAATGACAAGATTTCATTCCCTTTCCTGAAAGGAACTGGAATATATATACACATATATATAACATTATGCTTCCTTCAGCCTTCTGATGGATGTTGCTGGAAAGCAAACT